TTTCAGAGAATCAATTCGGTTTTATGCCTGGTCGCTCAACAACTGAGGCTATTCGCCTTCTTCAGCAACTTATGGAGAAGTATTGAGACGCTCACAAGGATTTGCATTTAGTGTTCATTGACTTAGAAAAGGCATATGATAGGGTACCTCGAGAAGTTCTTTGGTGGGCCTTAACTAGAAAAGGCATTTCACGCAAGTATATCAGCATCATCATGGATATGTATGAGGATTGTACTACTAGTGTCCGTACGAGTGTAGGAAGGACTGTGGAGTTCCCTATTACTATCGGAGTGCACCAAGGATCGACTCTGAGCCATTTTTTATTTTTCATAGTCACGGATGAAGTTACAAAGTCAATTCAAGACGATATACCGTGGTGCATGATGTTTGCCGACGATATTGTATTGATTGATGAGACACTATCAGGGGTTAAAGCAAAGTTGGAAGTACGGCGACAAACATTGGAGAACAAGGGTTTCAGACTAAGTGGGAGCAAGACAGAGTACCTGGAGTGCAAGTTTGGTGGAGGTAGAAGCAGTGGTAATAGCGGAATTACTTTTAACGGTGAGGAGATACCGGCCAACGATATGTTCCGTTACTTGGGCTCCATAATTCAGAAGGATGGTGAGTTAGATGGAGACGTATCCCATAGAATCAGAACAGGGTGGATGAAGCGGAAGAGTGCGTCAGGATTTCTATGCGATCGAGGTATGCCGACTAGACTGAAGGGTAAATTTTATAGGACGGCAATTAGGCCTGCATTACTGTATGGCACAGAGTGTTGGGCATTGAAATAATGTCACATTCAAAAGATGAGTGTGGCAGAGATGTGCATGCTGCGTTGGATGTGTGGGCATACTAGAAAGGACCGCGTGAGGAATGAGACAATCCGACAAAAGGTGGGAGTAGCACCTATTGAAGATAAGATGCCGGAGTTGCGCCTACGGTGGTTTGGTCATGTGCATAGAAGACCGAGTGATGCACCTGTCAGACGAGTTGAGATGTGTGGAGAAGAGGCAGGGAAGAGAGGGAGAGGAAGGCCCAAACAGACGTGGGTTAGGGGAGTCAGAAGTGATATGCTTCTTCTTGGATTGGATGAGGGTATGACTTTGGAGAGAGAAAAATGGAGGGCGAGTATTCGTGTGGAGGAGTGATCTTGTATCATCTTTTCCCCTCTTTTTTTTCTCTTTTCTTTTTTTTTTATATATTTTTATCCTTATATATAAATACTACTTTATCATTTTTATTTTATATTTTATATGTATATTCATCTCTTTTATATTATCTTTTTTTATAATAGCTTGTCTTTTTTATCTTTATTTTCTTTTTTTTCCTTTTGGTGATATCATGTATCGATTCATGTTAGCCGACCCCAATATCTTTTGGGACAAAGGCTTGGATGTTGTTGTTGTTGTTGCAATTATAATCCTAGCAGCTGTTCTAGGTTACAAGAGATATCGATTAAATCATTCATACACAAATTAAATAAAGATTCATGCAATTTAAACCATAAAGAATCTAGCCATACATCATGAATAACCCCTTCATCAATCCCAAATCCCTAATTAAAACTACTCACAATTCATAATTGAAGAATCAACGGAATTGGGAAAGAAAGAATTAAAAAGATGGAACTTACAAAGAATCCCAAAATATTGAGGAACAAGGCTGAAAAGCTCTCTAAATTTCGTGCTAGGCACTCTCTCTAAGCTCCGTCTTGAAAACGGGGGTTTACAGGCTGTTTAAATAGAAAAAACGGGTGAAATTTGAGCTGAATTGGAATTTTCGGAGGTAGGCATGACTGTGCCTCCCTCCATGCCTGCAGAGCAATGTCGCACGTCGCGTCCAGGCACGACCGTGCCTGGCCTCCAGTGGCTGGGTACCTGCTTCTTCTTCAGGCACGGCGTGCCTATCTCCCAGACACGACCGTGCCTGGTCTTTTCTAGTTGTAGATAATGAAGTTCTCTATCCACCACAACTTGCAAAACTGGATTTGAATCATCCGATCAATAGATATGAATAAAATGGTGGAAGGTCGCATTTTGAAATCGCAACAGCAATCATCTGACTTCCTCGTCTGTTTTCACCTTTCTCCTCTACGATTCTCGTCACGGTGTCTTCATATGATTTGTAGCCCTTGAAGTTAGATTTCATATGGAACTTGAATCGTGTCCTTTGGATGTTTCTAGTTTCTACAAAACAATATGCTTGAACGATTGACAGAAGGTCATCCTGATCGCCGTATTCAAGCTCTATTCGTCTTCTTTTGATCCCATAGTCAATCCTAGAGCTCTTTTGTCTTCAAATCTTCGTCGTGAACCTCCCGGTGACCTCCAAAGCTCTCAATTCACTCTCGAATGCTTCTCAAGCACCAGTTCTCGACTCTAATTTCTTGATTTTGACTCCAAACAACACAAAACTCGAACCAACACCCGGTAAACATAACTTGAGCCAAAATTGAGACTTGTGACACCTTAAAGCTATGAAAACTATCAAAAGCCGATCTCAACACGCCTCAAATGCGTGTTGTGATACGAACTTAACAGTGGGCATCATGTTCGATAATTTGGAGGGGTGACGCCTGGACATGGACTCCTACAGGAGCCATCTGCTCCACATCAATCATATCGGGAGAAGCGTGCACCTTGGAGTTCCGGGATGCAGGGGCATTCTTAGCTACCAGGACCGTCTCTTGTAGAGTTTTTTGGGCCTCGGGCCATTTTTGCTTTTCATCCTTGGAAGCCTCGTCCTTTTAAGTGGACAGTCTATTTGACCGCCTCTCAACATCGAGTGCTTTCTTCTGCACCTTTTCGCCGCCTTCTTTGCGGCCTCCTCTGTCGCCTTCTTCCGACTGCCACCACTTGGCGAAATTGAGCAACAATGATATCTTATCCATATCAGTTTCTGTAAAAAAAAAAAAAAGGTGCAAAGGTTAGCAAACATAACACATCAATCAACACATACATACAAGCACATAACATTCAGGTAACCTTTGAAAAACAATGATGTCACCGCCCAATTTTGTGTCACTGCAAAACAATTATGTCACTATCATGTCTTATTACTAGATTTTATGTCACTTTTGAATGTTAGTACAATTTTATATCACTTTCGAATGTCACTGTAGCCGTAAAAACGCGTCACTATGTCGTCGGAAAATTTCCTGCCAACTGCTCCAGGTCAAAATTTTATACAACCTCCATAGTTTTTGCCCCAGAAACCATCACCACAACGTCGCCGATACCGCGGTCATCGCCGCTATGCATGAGACTACCTAGGCCCCCTGTCCCCCAACCCTAATCTCCTTCCCTTGCTCCCCAGCTTCACAGCCCCATCCCTAGCCTACCTATCCCAGCATCCCAGCAACTTCACTCCAGTGCCCCAACCCCAGCCGAGTCATACTTCTCTCCATTTCCTTATCTCCATTTACAGTCTCCATTTCTTTTTCACTCTATCTCTCTCTTTAAAAAAAATTAAAAATAATCTTTTCATTTACTCTACCCCACCATTTCCCCACCTATCTACGTCTCTCTCCTACTCGACAATTCCAGTTACTCGAGAGGAGCAAAATTCACCCAACCCACTACCTGACCCCAGCGCCGCCTAGTCCCAGCCCAGCCCCCCTCCCACCTGATCTTTGTGCCACCCAGCCCTCTGTGACTAGACCTAGCCACTCTACGACTCGCAGCAGTCCCAACAACCATCGTACTGGCTCGCCCGACCCCCAGTCCCTCTTCGACGCGCATAAACCCCAAGAACCACCGCCCTTCCTTGCCCAAGTCCCTCTGCGACTTGCCTGAACCCCACAAGCCTAAAAACTACCAGATCTGAAATCACATATGAGATCTATGATACTAGCGATCGATGATGACTATTCACATCGAAGAAAAAGAAGAAGGTAGTGCGTAGGGAAGAGGAAAAGGAAGGAGAAGGCTCTCCCTGGCCCCAAATAGGGCGGCGGTGGCGGAATTGCAGCAGCGGAGGTGAGGTGAAGACAACCGGTAGAGATGAGAAGCGGAGGCGGCTGTCCTAGTGGCCGATGGAGGTGAGGAAGAGGTGCTAGCTATGGGGTTGATTACAGATGAGAGAAGCTCGATCGTGTCTTCCAAATCCGTCTAATTTGGGTTTTTAGGTTTAGCTTTTTAATTCAATCACTTTTTTGTCTAATATTAAAATGGTCATATTTTTGTCCATCTATAGTTGGAGAGTAATACTTATGTCGTTCTTTCAATCGTCAAATTATGGCGGTGTGGTTTTGGAGGACGTTAATCATTCATATTTAATGGGAAATGAATTACTTCTATAGTTCTATTTAAGTAAACTACATTATTTTTACTCCAATTTTAAGAATTTAAAATTCCTAACTTTTTTTTACATATCTTGCCTTTTAGGGTATATTGAAAAGAAATAATTGCAAATATATAACCAAAATATAAGTAGTGGACAAAAAATATAATTTTAGTAACTCAAGTGACTACAATTGTATTCAAATGTTACATTATCATAGTGACTATAAAACTTAAGCATAGTAATTTAGAGTCACTTTTTTGTCAATCTATAAGTTTTTTTCTAATAATATTTTAGGGAAAAACTCAATTCAAAACAAGTCATCTTTATGCATGGCATCATTTGATCCAAGCTTCAACGGGTCAAATTCTAAAATATACGGAGTATGATCTATATGGGCTCTCTTTTTCACGTGAGAGATTTTCTCTAAAAAGCCACATACATAGAAAATTTAGAAAGGGAGTTCATAGAGAACAAAAACATGAAGAAGCATTTTTAGGCTCTTAAGTTGGTTACTCATCAGTAAAAAGGAGAACCATAGTCCATATACAAGGCACGATTAGGGAGATTTATACATCATATTCACTCTCAACACTTGTGGAATTTTTTTTAACTAGAGACGCTCTTTTAGTTATTTTTGTTAAAAAGCGCCTGTAAATTAAAAAAAATCCATGTGCCCTGCTATTAATTGGATAAGTGACTCTAATAGTTCCCCCAAATTCATTTTAATTAAAAAAAGTCTCTGTGCGGAGAATTTGGAGTAACAATACTCTAAATTTATTATTATAAAAGAGTACACTGTCCGACGCTTTTGTACGAAATAGCGACTCTATGTTTCATAGTAATATTTTTGTCATGCACCTTAGTAGATCGCTTTGCACTGGGACAAATGTACAACAAAGCACAAGTAGCGGCGACCAAGAGACAAACAACGGCGATGAATGAAGCTCAATGACCACCCCGCTGCAAGTAGAACTTTGGGTAGTGTTTGAGATAAATATCAGTATATCACCATTACTTTTTAGATAATTTATCACCATTAATTGATTACTTCAACTATTCCCAAACCTATTATCTATGGTATGATCATCCAAAGAATTACATTAAGAATGGCAAGGACTAATGTTTTAAAATTGTATGTCCCGTTTTCACCAATGTATTGTGTTTTTAATTAAGCCAAGTTGATGTAGTTAGCTTCCCGACAAGGGGAATCACTGTGCAAAAGAAAAGTCTTTATGAAAGAGTTGAGAGATGAAGCAGACTCCAAGTTAACAGCATGTCCAGCTCCCTCTATCACTTCCAATCTTGCTTTATTGGCACCCAAGTATCTGCAACAGAACACATATATTCTATGAAACACAAAAGTTATGGCATCAAATTTATTATAAAGTTATCATGTCTAATGATTTTTGCTTAAACTAATCAGATAAATGTGTTTATAGCCAATTTGATGCTTTAGGTTCGGGTGTTTATATGTCTCTATGTTGATGACATGTTGATTTTTGAGACGGGCCATAATCAGATTGGTAAAACTAAAAAAAAATTATCATCAAGGTTGTTCATGAATGACATGGGGGGTGTGAATGTAATCCTTGGAATAAAAGGATTAAACGAGTAAAAAAATTATGGAATTTCTTCAACACAAACTTACTATATTGAAATTATTATCAAAAGATTTAATTATAGTGATTATTCATCGGTTAGTACTCATGTGGGTACCAGTGTGAAGTTGATGCCTAATAAAGGAAAGACATTATCACAACTAAAGTACCCTCAAGCTATTGATAACTTGATGTATGCCACGAAAAGCACTCGGTCTGATATTGCTTATGTCGTGGGTAGGTTGAGCCAATAAACTAGTAGTTCGCTCAACATTGATAATCAACGAAGAGAGTATTCAAGAATTTAAAGGGGCATTAGATTATCGTTTGTGTTGCTTTAGATATCCTTCGATGTTTAGAATGATATTCTGGTGCAAGTTAGATATCAATGTAGATGATCATTCTTCTACAAATGGTTGGGTGTTCTTTCTTAGGGGTGCCATTTCTTGAGCACCCAAGAAGCAAATTTGCATCACAAGCTCAACGATGGAATCCGAGTTTGTTGTATTGACTACAGCCAGGAGAGGCGGGGTGGTTAAGAAATTTAATTTATGCAATTCCATTGTGGTAAAAACATATTGCACTCATTTTTATCCATTTTTGATAATGTTGCCACTTTGTCTAAAGTATCTAGTGTTGGGCTTCTGCCAACATTATCCTAACCGGCCCATGGTGCCACGCCTGCTCTATAAGAAGGCGAAAGACGTGCTACACTGTCAGCAAATGCTTTCAGTGTAGCGGTCAGCGCTTTGATCCTACAAGTGGTATCAGAGCCTAGGTCACGTGTTTAAATCTTAGGTAAGTACCCGCGGTACGTGGGGGGGGGGGGCGTCTTGTGCATCCAAAGTGGTGGCAGATGTTGGAGGCAATTATTGGGCTTCAGTTAGCATCTTTCTAAATCGGCATGTGGTGCTACACCTGATCTATAAGGAGGGGAAATCTGTGATACACTATCAACAATTGCTTTTAGTGTAACATTAACGATTCGATCCTACATTTATTCATGTTTATAATGACAAGTCTAGATACATGGGTGTTAGACATAACATGATTACAAAGTCAATCATGAATGTTGTGATTTTGGTGGAGTTTGTAAAATCACAATACAATTTGGCGGACCACAAACTTGACTAAAAGTTTGGCCTAAAACTTAGTGTATTAGTCCGTGATAGCGATGAGATTAAAGTCCATTTAAATCCTGAATGGCGAGACACCTCATTCCTCTCTAATAGGACGTTAGAGGTTGAGTTCAATATGGAAAGCTCACACTTATGAATTGGAACACACCGTCGAAATCATCTCAAGATGTATGTTCGGGCCTCTAGTGTAAAAGCATGAATTTATTTCTTAGTAACTCCTTTGATAAAATATGAGGTACATGAGTAAATGAATTACATATATGATCGTGAAGTGTAGCCACACTTCAAAAGGCTTGGGACTTGGCATTTATATGGCATGTCTATCTAATTGTGTCAACTATTGTAATCTAGTTCAGTATAGAAGTTTGTATGTATTTTATCTTCAGATATTGAAATGGGTTGATGAGTTCAATCGTTGAGACACCCCGATTTTAAAATATTTGGAATGCGTAAAATACTAAGATGGAAATTCAGGTGTAAAATACACTAAAATGGTGAGGATTAATTGTTGGTGATTTTAGTTAGTATCACCGGCTATTTTATGTGATTGAAAATAACATGAACGGTAATGGGGATTGAAATTATGATAAAGTATAAGTTAGTATGTTGTAACTATTACATTTGTATATAAAAATAAGTTTTATTCCAAAATGTCTACAATAATAGAACTCGCACCGGAACTCTTAGTAGATTAGTTCTGTGATTCTAGATCAAAGTCTAAGCGGTTGAGACGGTTACATGCAGTTTTCCAGAAACTGCTACAGTTGTTACCTAAATTATTTTTAACTGCTTGCAACACGTCATATTAATAATTATCTCCATATTTTGTATAGAGGGTGAGACAGAACGTATCTTCATCACTTTGGTATCCAAATCAAAAGAAAGCAATTCATACTCACTACTTTATGCTCTTGAATTTGTGCATACGTTCTTGAGCGTTTTTAAGAATAATGAATTTCTTGTAATTCATATATATGGGAGAAATAATTCCAAAAGTAAACTTACACAACTCTTTAGCATTTCAACATCCCAACATAGTCTAGCATAAAAACCTAAAAATGCGTTTCATTTGGTGCATTATACAAAAAACTTAAATATGAACGGATACCTATCCGATCTTAAAAATAATTAGACTCGTATGCAAACTTATATGATTGGCTTCAAATTTAATAAGAAGTAGCATTTCAACTTTGAACTATCTCCAATGCAATAATGCATGCTGTATTAAAGTGATAAAAATATAATTTTACTATACCGCACTAAAAAACTGTTTGTATAAAAGGTTTTCTTTATTTTTTGTATAGAATTACTTCTCTACAATACACACACACACACACACACACACATATATATATATATATCATTTTTTATTGTGTATGTATATATATATATTATAATATCCAGTTTTAAACATTGTGTTTGAAATTAGAGAAGAATCGCTAAAAATATAGAGATGTGTGAAATTTGAAGTAGAAACTTACCGTTGCAACAGCTGACCAAATTCCAGTGGGAAAATTTTGTCCGACTCACCCCAAACAAGCAGCACTTCCTACACAAACACACAAATGACAAAATATGTTAGTTGTTGTGATGTACTCTGTATATTCTTTTTTATACTATCTTCTCATTCTTTTTAGTTGCAATTGAAATTTTTTACCCTCACCATATTATCTACTTTGATTGCATTATACTATCTTCTCATTATCTATTTTTTTCCTGAAATTGTTAAATTTGTTTCACTACAAATTTTCATATTTTGATTTTTAAACTTTTTTACTAATGCAAGATCAAAAATAATGACCATCAAAGTTCAGCGTTAACAAACATTTAAATAGGAATATTTCATCTAAAAAGAATAGATGAACTATACTATACTCCATAATATACAACACAATCACATGCCACCTAATAAGTATTCCGTATTAAGTAACACATGCAAGTTAAAAAGTTGGAAAAAATTATTTGCTGTGCGCGAAATTTGTACACGTTTCACACGCATTGTACATAATTATCTGTGCACATAGATCATTTGTACACTCTCTAATTACATGTGTACACAGGCTCTTCATTCATGCAACTTTGTCTGTGTATACAATAATTACTTAAAAATATATGTGAAATAATTCGTATCTTTATATAATATAAAGTAGCAGTGTTGTTACAACTATTGCAGGGTATAATTGGAAACACCTTTTCCATTTGAAAAGAAAACCACACGTATGGTTATTAAAGTTGTTATACGTATTTAGATAGGAAGATTTTTTTAATTTCAAAGATATTAAAGTGACAAATTTGTAAATTATGATGTCACGTAAAAGTGTAATTTTGACCGCACATTATTACTGTACACATATGTACATATATTGTAATAAGTAGAAGTTGTATTGATTGGCTAATTGCTACATGCAATAACAAAATTAAAAAAATATAACTTAGTAATTATTAGTGAATATAATTGTATTCATATTTACATCGTAGTAATTACATGTAAGTTACTTCGATATAAACTTTGAACACAATTATAATCACTAAGGATATTATGTTTCTTTCAGATTGTTTTCATTCCCAAATCAGCACCAGATCAGACCAGACTTCAGTAGTTATAAAATACACAGAGACCAGACATTTACCAGATCAGACCCGTTCAGACCAGACCAACAAATTTCAGTCCAAAAGAAAACATCATAATAGTTACTAAGTAATATTTTTGTCAATGATTTTTTTATTAGTAATATCCATGAAAAAAACCCTAACAAATAATTGTAGTATGTATATGTATATATATATATATATATATATGTATGTATGTATATAGAATTTGGTTCAAATAAAAAGTACTTCATAGGTGAAAAATAAGAACTAATCTTGGCCATTGATGTGAAAAAATAGATGGAAGAGATCAAATTTTAAGGTTGAAACGCGGTGGCATTTTTGTAATTACGGAAAACTTTTATTGAAAATTTTGTGACAAGTGTGTATCAGAATAGTTAAAAAGTGCACACGTAGAGTAAAAAAGTGCAATATAGTATAAAATAAAAAGTGCAGAAGTTGGCAAACTTTGACAAACTTTTTTTACACGCATGGGTGCACTTTTAATCAGTAAACTATCCACTTTATAGTACAAACATTTGCACATTTATTGAAACGGTCTATTGTGATTAAAGTTCATCTCATCCATCTATTTTCAAGTGATCAAAGGTCAAGATTTATTCTCACTTTTCATGGGAAGACTACTTTTTACTTGAACTGGCCCCTATATATATATAGGAATGTTCAGGTCCGAACATTCCCCGTCCGAGCACCGTCCGAACATGGACATTTGGGCCACTTCCCGGTGGAATTTTTTGATGAAATGTTTTGATCATGTTCTTCATCAAGTCCAGTTTGTCCATACAAAATTTCAGCTCAAAATTCAATCGGGAAGACATTCAAATCATTTTTTGAAGTTGACTGCGTCAAAATATACATATAAAAACGCAGTCAACTTCAAAAAATGATTTGAATGCCTTCCCGATCTAATTTTGAGCTGAAATTTGGTATGGACAAACTACACTTGATGACGAACATGCTCAAAAAATTTCATCATAAAATTCCATCAGGAAGGGCCCCAAACAAGGATGTTCGGACGGAGGCTTCTGTCCGAACGTTTGGACCTGATCATTCTTGTGTGTGTGTATATATATATATGTATATATATATATATATGTGTATGTATATATATATATATATATATATATGTGTGAGTAATCCGACCATTTTTACTGTATTCGTACATATATAAGGTAAGGTGAAAATTTGATATCATAAAATACACTACATATGTATCTATTCTCTAATTCAAAAACATTAATTTTGGAGTACTGATATTTATTAAATTCAAGAACGAACTTGAGACTTGAAAAGCATTGACTTTTTATTTAGGCTTGGTTTTCGTATCTTCATTTTATAAAAAAACATTAATTAAGAACATGAGACCTGAATATAATTGTATTCCATAAACACATGTTATAAAAAATATATTTTTCCATATGTAATCAACTTTTAGTTTCAAGTTTACACAAATACCTATTTTTTAATTCTAGGTTCAATAGTTTGAAGTGACCGTGCTTAATTGACTTCATTTCTACCAGCTTTATTTTAACTTGATACTTATAACTACAGTGAAATTAGTATTTATAATTATTAGTTTAATTGATAAAAGTATTATATTCAAGTGAATGTATATTACAGCCCCTTTTAATTAGAACTTAAAGTGTAACTCGATCATTGTTTATTTTTTGTTACTACTCAATGTATTCTATACTTCAATCTAATACTTTCAAGTAAAAGTTAATATTAAAATAGATCTCCTTGCGAAACCAATTTCTTTAATTAGCCCGATTTGATTTCTTTCAGCTTTGAAAATGTAATGTTATCTACAATGAAATGTCTATGTATTAAGATTAAGAAAGTTGATGTGATTTATCTGGAATAAAAAAGTGCGGAAAACTTTTATCTACCAAACTTTTGAAGTAAATATTACAATGCCAATCAAGTACCTTATGGTTTGATAATCACGGTAAAGAGGAAGTCACATGTTTTAACCTGATCCCAGCTCAAGGTTGTTAGCCTTAATAGAACGAATACTATAATAGGTTAGAAAGTTTGTTAAAAAAAAGTAAATATTACAACTATCAACGAAAGTATTTTTTTAATAAAGTTTTTCCTAAAATATTACTAATAAAAAAGTCATGGATAAAAATGTGACTAAATAACTATTAGTAGCTACTACGATGTAAACCTTCAACGCAAGTATAGTCACTTATAGTTACTAAGTTACATTTTTGCCCATCACTTATTCAGGAGTAAAATTTATGTAATTTTTTCACTTTTAATACTTGAAAAACTATATTTTACTATGAAATTAGATCTAGCGCCTCATTTCAAGCATCTCTTGAAACTGGCGCCTCATTATTCAAAGTAATTAAATTGATTGGAGTTCCTATATACTCCGTATTATGCTAATGAGAAACATTGATCAATCTTTTGGAGTATGTACTGAGACTTGCGTTATTGTTTTTCGGATGAGTAAAATGTTAGAGGCGAAAGTAATATTTTGAAAAAATATCGGGCAAAAAGTTTTAATCACAAGGTTTCTTTGGGCATGTAAGATTGTAAAAGTTCATTCAAGTTTCAATGTACACTAGGCCACTCCGAGTCACCGTTATATTTCTCATGATGGAGAACAAAAACTATGGGTAATCTTTACATAAAATGGACATATATCTTACAAAAATATGTTTTGTTACGCAAAGACTAATGTAATTTTCCATGCCCAAGTTCACCTCCATAAGAAAATAGAAAATTATAATATGCAATCATGGAAGTTGTGTAGTCTATAAAGAATATAATTTTCACAAAATTGATGATAATATTTGTGATTTACCACTAAAAAGAGATTGTGCAATTTTATACTCGTACAACGTAACGTAGGGATGATTAACGAAATAAACACTCCTACTATCATGACGTTTTCATTGTCTTACAATTTATTCTTACAACACGTATTTTTATTAATAACTTTACTTGCAAGTCTTCATATGACCTACTAATTCGTTTCGCGTAACCCAACATTATACAATTAAAGTTATAACATTTTACGATACCATTTTTCCTTTACTCGAGATCGGTACATTGTGTAGTAAGTTATGTATAGAAGAATTGTTGTAAAAAGTTTGGTGAGTGCAAGTTGCGCGCGTCATTCAAAGGCCTAGGCGAATACAAAAATTAAAAAAAAAAACTTTCGATTCTAAAGGGACCAAATCAAGTTTTTTGAATTAATAATTGAAGGAACTTTCCTTCAAAAAAAGAAACTTAAATAGATGAATCGTACAAGTCCTGGATTGTAATGGAGATGTACGTTTTTGTAAAGAACTACATAATAAAATTGAGTTAACTTTTTCATTAAACAGACAGCTTTTAATTTTGTGCGTTGAATTGTATAATAATAAGAAGAAAAAATGAGGTTTTAGTTACTTTTCTAACTGTATTGGATGAAGTTATTGAAAATGACCATTTTAACTATTTTTCATATATTTTTTTTCTTTATTTAGTTAATAAAATATGTTTAAATATAATTTTTCATAAATCGGAAGAATCAACCAATCTAACTACTTTAGTCAAAACTTCTTAAATTTGAGGAGAATTGCAACCGATTTAGGTTTACCTAATAGACTCTAAATATGTAAATCGATGCATGTTCTAGAAATAAGCAATTCCATGTAAAGAAGAGCCGTAGATCACATGCCGTAACATATCAATCATGTGCAAAAAACTGTATATAAATTGGCCGCAATAAAATAAGATCACATGCCATATTTTCGTTTGGTACTACTTGTCTACTTTTCTAGTGTGATTTAGTTTCTTGGTCTTAGTTTTGTTTGATGAAGTTTCATTGGTCTGATCCGGTGAAGATGTCGCATGTGTTTATTTTATTACTACTAGTATTATCTAAGTCTCTTCTCATTTCTAAACATTTATTTCGCTCCATTTTTGTTAAGTTGCACTTTGCACTTTGGTATTATCTAAGACTGCATCCTTTCTGATGTATCAAAAAAAATTATCTAAGACTGCAACAAGTTTAAGTGAAAACAACTCCATTTTTCGGATTATTAAGTAGTACTACGTAATATTTTTAGATTAGAGCGTTATATTAAAATGTACTACGTATATACTACGTATTTAGAAATTAGAATCTATATCAAATAGACATGTATACAAACAGGCCCGCTCACACCCTTTTTGGAACAAGGCGGCCCGCTCACACCCTTAAAAACTGGCGGGCTAGAACATACTACCTCCGTTCTCTTTTAAATGCAACGTTGAACTTTTTGCATTATTCGCATGTTTTACTTTGACTACGTTTTATTTATTAATGTAATAATATATATTTTTGAAAAAAATATTGTTAAATTTTTCTCATTATAAATTTTCAAAATCTATTTTTTAAACTTTTTTTACTAATCGGGAATTATATATATTAATGGTCAAAGTTTTGTCTCGGACAAATGTGAAATGTTGACTGTTGCATTTATTTAAGAACGGAGGAAGTATATATTCCGTATTAAAAAAAATCACTAATTGCATTCTAGTTTAAAAATGTTGTGATTTTATTTTAGATTGAGAAATGTTCTCATCATTTGAAAAAAAAAAAACTGAAAATTGAGGGATTGGGGTGGAGAGAGTGGTGATCGTGAATAGCCGCCAGCTTATGCAAACAAGAGTTGGACCAAACATGAGTACAAGTGTTTGAGGTTGCTTAGAAAAAGCCATTTTCATCTTTTTGGCTTAAAAAAGTTAAAAAAGTGTTTTCAAATGACAGTTTCTGTTTAAATTAATCACTTAAAAGCTAAAAGCTGGAAGTAGGTAGAAGGGTGTTTTAAACAGTTTTTCACTTTTTCTATTACACAAAAAGTACTTATTTTACCAAACATTACCAACTTTTACTTTTTCAGAATCACTTTTTTCTCAAACACTACAACCTTTTACTATTAATCACTTTTCCCAAAATCACTTTAAAAAATCACTTTTTTAAAGTTGAAGCAATTGCAAACACTCTCGTACATACCCCAGACCTGATCAAATCAGACTTACACAAATTAAATCAGACCAGACCATACAAGTTCAGACTTCTTTAGTCATAAAAAACATAGAGACCGGACATGCATTTACCAGACCAGATCACACAGACATAAACAGACCATTACATTTTAGAGAAATTAACCCCACATATGATTAAAACCTTCTATGTTTCTACTCAAATCTTTTTTTCCCTAGAATGATGGCACATGCCATGTATGTGCATCATCGTGCCTTTTATTTCATATGTTTCGTTCCAGCCTTGCCCTCTTATCTAAGACAGTTAAGTGATGACCGTAACTTCCGTGTTCCCGGGTTTGCCCTCTTCACTAGTCATACGCTCGTCAATAAACTTACCCACTCATATTTTGAGAATTCTCATCACTTATACTCATAGATAGGTATTTTTCCCTACATTTTAGCCCTAAAGTAAAAACAATCTAAGGGAGTGTTTGCAACTGCTTAAAAAAAGCATTTCTCAGTTTTTGGCTTTAAAAAGCACTTATTTACCAAACACTACCAATTTTTACTTTTTCTCGGTTTGCGTGTGAAAAGTGATTTTCCCCTTTCTATTACACAAAAAGCATTTATTTTACCAAACACTACCAACTTTTACTTTTCAAAATCACTTTTTTCTCAAACACTATCAACTTTTACTAATAATCACTTTTTCCTTACATCTTCAAAAGTGTTTTTTTTAGACAGAAGCAGTTGCAAACAGTCCTTAAGTTGATTTTAGGATAGAACGAACCTGAGAAATACGACGGGGACGATGAGTGCCGTGATCTTTATTGGTCAACAAGTAATCCAGTAGCTCTTCCCTCTCTTTCCTGTTAGGAGTGTACATCACCTGACATGGCAATGACGTGTCACCTTTAAACCTTTTCATCATCCATTCAAGTTTTTCTGACAATTTTTAATTGAACTATCCAACTAACAAAACGAAATGGGCCTACAAGCTTCAAGCCCATACATGAGAGCCTTACTGCCAGCTTCCGCCATATAACTTTTTCCTCATGTATTGCACTCCATATTTCAGAGTAATAATAATATAATTATAATTATTAGTAGTATAATAATAAATCAATGTAAGAACAATGAGTGCACGTTTACGTTTTGAATACGATCTTTTTTAATATTTAATTAACGTGATGTATGTGTATTGGGTTTTGGTCCAATAATACGGAGTAACGTTAGAAGTTTGCATGTCATACTTCAAAGTTCAAACATCTAGTACCCTCCTTCCTTATTTTCTGGTTGTTTCTACAACTTTTTAACCAAGTTGTAGAAATGGGAAGAGAAGTGAATAATGTGAGATATATTCATAATATATTATATCATCTGATTTTACCCCATTTTGTGAGATATATTCATAATATATTATATCATCTCATTTTACCCCATTTTGTGAGATGCAACTTTGTCTTTTCACTTAGGGGTGTTTGTATTTTGGCGAGTAAAGGGTCAGTTTGGTCCTTGAAGTTGCAAAAAAGGGGTCAAATAAGTCCTTATATAGAAGATTCTGTCCGGACGTGCCATTTGAGGTGGCTCCCGGTAGAATTTTTTGATGAATTTTTTTGAACATCTTATTCATTAAGTCTAGTTTACTCATACTAAATTTCAGCTAAAAATTCAATCGGGAAGACATTCAAATGAATTCTTAAAGATAACAGCGCTTTTAACGGCACAGTTATCTTCAAGAATTCATTTGAATGTCTTCTCGATTGAATTTCTATCTGAAATTTGGTATGAGTAAACTAGACTTAATGAATAAGATGCTCAAAAAATTTAATCAAAAAATTCCACCGGGAGCCACCTCAAATGGCACGTCCGGACAGAATATTCTATATAAAGACTTATTTGACCCCTTTTTTGCAACTTCAAGGACCAAACTGACCCTTATCCCGTATTTTGGCGGTTGAGAGGCAACACGCTACAAAATGCAATGTTTGTTTGTTATCACAAAAAATTAGCGTTTGGGGTAAAAATGCTTTTACCCAAACAACCCTTGGTGTAAAAACACGAGCGATTCCTAAATCGCACTTTTACAATCAAAATTTATATATAAAGCACCCTAGCCTACTTACTAAGGCTTTGTTTGACAACACAACTAAAAAAGCATTTTCCCAACTTTTGGCTTAAAAAAGCTAAAAAAGATGTTTTCAAATTACAATTTCTACTTAAATGAATTACTTAAAAGTTAAAAGCTAGAATCCGCTTTTTACTTTTTTATTACACAAAAAACACTTATTTTACCAAACACCAACAACTTTTACTTTTCAAAATCAGTTTTTTCTCAAACACTACCAACTTTTACTATTAATCACTTTTTTACCAAATCTATAATACTCGTAATTCGTATAAGCACGCTCCCCAATAAGCACGCTGACATGGATCCATATATTTTCTCCTCTTAAAATGACCATGAAAAGGGGCGGGTCAAGACATTAGATCAGATTGAATGGGTACAAGAAATATTTTTGGGGAAAAAAATATACAAATTTTTTTTATCATAGAAATTTAGACATTTTTTAATGATGTGTAAGAGTATAGGATAGAAGTATAGAACTCACTCACAGTGATGACCTCCCGTAGGATGAAATCCGGGACCCACTTGAGCGGGTCACACTTGCTGAATGACTGATTCACCAACAGCCGGAGATCGTCCGGCTTTGCCGGCAAGAACACGTCCACCGCGTTTTCCCGCCCCATCTTCTTCAGCCGCACCATCTGCTCCGCCCTCTGATCCGCCGTCGACGCGATCCCGCTATTCACGATCACCACCCTCTCCACCGCATCCGGGTACATCTCCGCCATCCGATACGCCACGAACCCGCCGTAACTGATCCCGTACACGGAGCTCCGCCGCACCCCCAGCCCCTTCAACCCCTCCGCCACGCATTCCGCCTGGAACGCGACCGTGCGGTCCGGGCGCCGGGAGTGGGACTCGCCGAAGAAGAGGAGGTCCGGGACGTACAGGTTGAAGGATTCCGCCAGCTGCCGGACCTGGAGCGCGAATTGCCACTTGGCATTGCCGCCGTAGCCGTGGATGATGACGAGGTTGGGCTTGCTGAAGCGGCGGTGGGTGGGGGCCCAGAAGTGGACGGTGGTCTGGTCGTCCAAATCGACGGTGCAGGGGCAGAGATTGCAGAACCGGAAATAGAGGGACAGGATCGAGTCGAAGATGGGGATGAGGATGGGGAAGCGGTGGGTTTTGGGCAGAACGCGGCCGATGACGGCGGCGGTGACGGAGAAGTAGAAGGACATGATGTGGCAAAACCACAGCCGGAGCACCGTCTCCATCCCGGCCGGCCCCTCTGAAGAACAATTTGAGAAGAGTAATTAAAGAGTGGATTGTAACGCTGGCGCTGCTTTGCGTTTTTAAAGACAAGTTTTTAGTTTAAAAAATTATACAGTACTTTTTCGTTATTACTCCATCACTCCATATTATATTACCAGAAAATCGGAGCTCGCAGATTTAAACCATAGTTTGAAGAAAAGGGGTATTTCAGACTATGAACTGCTAAGAGTCCCTATACCGTACACCCGGGTGTACGTACATCCGGTCCAATTATTGAATTTCATTGGTGGGCTGACATCTTGTAACAACGAATCGTGACTATAGGACCCAAATTTGACTGACTGGGAGCGATTATCTTCCCTGCGCCTTCCCCATTTTCTCGACTTGCAGAATACGGAGTTGTGGAGCATACCAATTCGCCCATTTGTATGCCGTTTTCTACATTTTCATCATGGCATAAATAAATTGTTTAAAAAAATTAGATTTTCTTTTTGTATAGTCTATACAAATTGTCCGTAAACCAAATAATTGTACTGAGCATTTAAAGATATTCATTATTGCAATAGTGTAATGTAATTAAATTATTTAAATTAGACTCCAAATTAAATTAGATTCGTATACCCAACGTAATAGGTCTGATGCTCATTAAAACTTATTGATCGCTAAATGGGCAATAGTGTACTTTTAGTGAGCATCTGACCTATTGTATTGAGTAATATGACGCTAACAATGAGTATCACGATCTCTGCTTCATATCTTCTAATTATTTTTCTCTTTTAATTTTTTCTTTTTACATAAACTTATTAAATCATATCTATAATTCACTCATATTAATTGGAATATGCGAGTCAAATGTAATATGATACTTTTGAAATATGTATGCATATGACATTTTCAAAATGAGCATAACATCAGTACCAAATGAGCATACATAACTTACAAAGTGCACATTGATATGAAATCGTAAGGTTTGGTAGTTAAACATCACAACATTTTAATTGAGCATCAAACCTCAGATATTGAGATGAAAATTACGATTTCTGGGGAATGAGTATTAATGAGCATCAGACCTATTATGTTGAGTATTAGGAGTCTAACATAAAATAGTACTTTAAAAATACATTGATATGACATTTATAAATTGAGCATAAGATCAGTACCAGATGAGCATACGTAACTTACAAAATGAGCATTAATGAATTTGTTAGTTGCTTTGTTAGTTGAACATCACGACATTTTCATTGAGCATAAAAAATCCTCTATTGAGATCGATAAAAATCATGATTTCTATAAAATGAGCATTAATAAATTTTTAATGAGCATCACACCTATACAAATGAGCATATGTAACTTTAAAAAAAGAGCATATGTAACTTACAAGATGAGCATCGATATGCAAATTCTAAGTTTTGTTCGTTGAACATTTTACATGCGCATTGATATGACATTTTACATATGAGCATAAAATTAGTACTAAATGAGCACGTGTAACTTACACAATGCTCATTGATAAGAAAATCGTGTTAATTGAACATCACGACATTTTCATTGAGCATCAAACCTCCTCTATTGAGATGAGAATCACGATTTTTGTTAAATGAGAACTAATGAACTTTTACTGAGCAACGAACCAAATTTGTTGAGTATTAGGAGTCTGATATTGAGTATCATGATCTCTGCTTTATATCTTATAATTCACTTTCTTTCTTTTTTTCTAAAAAATATTAAATTATATCTATAATAAACTCCTATGAAATTTCAATATGTGAATATAGTATAATATGATAATTTTGAAATATGCATTGATATGAAATTTTACAAATGAGCATAAATGAGTACAATTTGAGCATATGTAACTTACAAAATGAGCATTGATATGAAAATCATAAGTTTTTTAATTGAGCATCAAGACATTTTCAATGAGCATCAGATCTCTTCTATTGAATATTAAAAACATGCAATTGAGTATCGTGGTCTGTGCTCGATAAAGTATCTGTAATCAATTCCTATGTAAATCTTATGTGATACAATGCAAATCACGACTTCTGTTAAATGAGCATTAATGAATGTTTAATGAGCATCAAAACTATACAAATGAGCATATGTAACTTAAAAGATGAACATTAACATAAAAATTTTAAGTTCTTCATTGAGCATCAAGACATTTTTAGTGAGCATCAAACCTCCGTTATTGAGTATTAGAATCGTGCGATTGAGTATCATGATTTGTGGTCTCCTGTCTATAATCAACTTCTATGTGAATCTAATGTAATATTAGACTTTTGAAATATGCATTAATATAACATTTTAAAATGGACATAAAAACTAGTACCAAATGAGCATACATAACTTACCAAATGAGCAATTATATGAAAATCATAAGTTTTATACGAAAATTTTCAATAAACATCAAAACTCTTCTATATAGTATCAGAATCATTCAATTATGTATTATGATTTCTGCTCACATGTATGTAATCTAACTCTTATGCGAATCTAATATAATACTTTTGTAATATGCATTAATATAATATTTTAAAATGAGCATAAAACCAGTATCATATGAACATACATAACTTACAAAATGAGCATCACAAAATTCAAAAGCTCGTTTGAATTCTTTAATGTGTTTAAATGTTCATTTGTGCACATATATTACAATGACAAATATAGTAATGACAATATACTAATTTTATATTAAAAGTAATTTATAGTCCTTCATTATGTAATTAAAAATGTAATCAGATTCTTTTTATCATGTTCACTCATGCATATTTATTTTACACAATACTTATTTTAGTATAACACAAAATTCATGTTAGTAATTAGCACATAATATTTAATAATCAATAAATATTCATCATAAATAAAAAATAAAAAACATTAATACCTTAAATCTTCATCATAAATTAAAATCAATGGAAAAGGTGGTTAAAAAAGGTAAAAGAAAAAAAATGAAGTACGTAGAAACTAGAAAGCAAAAAGCAGGAGGTTAAGAAAAAGAAGGCGGATGAAGGGCATTACACAAAAAGCTATTCATCATGCCTGACCGCATCTCCATAAAAGCTGGGCCGCATCTCCATAAAAGCAGGGCCTGTAGTCCACATACAGAGGGAGCCGAGAAAGAATACCGATGGAATCATGAAAGTACAAAGAATTACAAAAATACCCGGATGTACGGTACATCCGGGTGTATGATATAATTTACGGAACTGCTAACTGGGGAGTATGGGTAATTATATATACGGAGTATAATACATAGTACTCTTTCCCCAAAAAAATACATAGTACTCCGTATATAAGTAGTATTTTATAGGTACAATTACTACAATATACTCCGTACATGAGTTAGGGATCCAAATATATAGCGCAAAAACATGAAAATATCATTTGCTCAAAAAAGTGTTCTTATTTACATGAAATTGTGTATTATCAGATTGTATTATCTTTAATCGAATTACAAGTATTAAGTCAAATTATCATCATCAATATCATACAATAATGTGATATTATCTTTAAAAATCTTATATAAATAATCTTACATTTATAAGGATATAATTAAAAAGTGAAAGGTGAGATTATTTGTATAATTTTCAAAGAAAGAGTAAAAAACATGGTCAGGGTCTAATGAAAGAAGATGAGGTGCAAATGTGGGATTATTTTGGGATTATTTAAAGGTGGGATTATTATGAGAAGACCAGTGAAAGGTTGGATTATTCTTGTCAATTTTTCCTTTTTTTTATTATATTGAATTGAATAAACACTTACATAGTATTTTCTTTGTTAAAGTGTTTTGAGAACTCAAATTTAATAAAATTTCAAAACATATGGGAATTGACTTTAACCCTAAAACACACTACTTTGTATTAACTTGGTATTGAGTGAGTGCTACTTTACCGTTGCTTTATCTTAAGCTTTGATAAGTTATCCTAATCTCAAATTAGAGTGAGAAAGAGAGAGCCAAATAGAAAAGGTTGCAGCATACTTATGTACAATTGGATTAGAACTTGGAATTATTACTTTAATTCAGAGTATTCGTAGGCATGCAATGATTGATCTGGACTATTTGCACAAGCATTAGTAAATTCGAGCGACTCGTGTGTATGAATTATAAAACTCTTCCTTTAATTATATCTTAGGAATCGAATTTGAGACAACTGATGGAGAACATCTACGTGCATCGATAGCAGTGATGGAAAAATTAGAAGATTGATTAGGTTCGAAACTCGCAAAGATCGTGTGGAGGTTATAACTCATGCGTATTAGGCTGGACCTCTGGTGCACATGTGTTTAAGATCTACCATCATTGGGCTGACTGAGCCACCATGATTTACATCCTCTCATATGACTTGTCGGGTTAGGGCATGGAGAGTCTTTGGGATTGGGGATTTAATCATTTCGAATAATGAAGGAGAACATCTCTCTGCCCGGGCCTAAAAACCATTACAGATTTTCTAAATGAATATTTTACACAAACGTATTTTATGCGCCTTGATAGTGATTGTGCGTGAGTAGATTGACTAAGGGGTGTTTGCAACTGCTTCTGCTTAAAAAAAAGCACTTTTGGAGATGTAAGGAAAAAGTGATTAGTAGTAAAAATTGATAGTGTTTGAGAAAAAAGTGATTTTGAAAAGTAAAAGTTGGTAGTGTTTGGTAAAATAAGTGCTTTTTGTGTAATAGAAAAAGGAAAAACACTTTTCACACGCAAGCCGAGAAAAAGTAAAAATTGGTAGTGTTTGGTAAATAAGTGTTTTTTAAAACCAAAAGCTGAGAAGTGTTTTTTTAAGCAGTTGCAAACACTCCCTAAATGAGTATAAATTGCATACATCAAAGTATATAAAAGCATCATTTTCCAAAGAAAAATAATGTAACTAAGAGGGGTTTGGAACTAATTAATTATGCTTCTTTTTTAAAAGCACAATCAGAATTAGAATCGGTTTTTCAAAAGATGATATCTCACATCGTCTAAAATCTGCTTTTAGGAGTAATTTCGAGCACATAAAAGTATTTATGCACTTTCACCAAACACTTCAATGTTTTGCTTCTACTTGAACAAGCAAAAGCAGTTTTAAGAAGTAGATCCAAATACCACATACGATAGTAATTATTAAAGACAACAAATGGATTACCAAGATGATAGATACTTAATTTTTGGATGAAATGTAAGTATATATTAAAGATAATCCAAATAGTACTGATGGATAGTCTACCCGGGGGTATCTCATCCGAGGGGTTATTGCAGGAATAACTAGAGAGAAGTCAGAGCAAATAGGAGGAGAGAGAGTCGATTGTATTAAATGAACTCAGCGTATGTTGGGATCCGGGATCCTTTACAATGGGGAAATGGGGTGCTATTTATAGTAGCAATAAATGCGATGAGAGTACACGTGGCGATAATCCGACGGCCGAGGGATCACTTCAATCGGGTGGCACTGGCAGTCGCATGTGCTCCGCATTGAATGCGGTGGGTGGATGTGACGTTGCATTAAATGCAGTGGTTGCTTGTCTCCAAATGGAATCTTTTCGATGATTGAGTTGTTGACCGAGGGCTCCCCCTGCGGCCGAGGGCCTGTGTAGCCGAAGGCATTGGGGTGCCGAAGGCTTCCTTGGTGCCGAGGGCATCATGTGTTTGGCCGAAAGCTACCGGTAGCCGAGGGCTACTGTTTTACGCCGTTTTCTCCCAGTAGCTTCGTATGCTCGATTCTTGCTGCCCTGTGTATTTTGGAGCCTTCGGCCAAGGAGGCCGAAGGCACCCCAGTGTGTATTTTGGGCTTCTTTGAGACTTGGGCCGCTGCATTTGGATTTCGAATGTTCCTTGGGCTCAATGGGCCTGCGTAGGAGAAGTAGGAGTCTATGGGCCGGGGGTTCCTGGGCCATATACTCCATCAAGTACATTTGTACAGCAAAAATATCAAGCAAAAATGGAGGCTATCGAGAGATCGAATAACCCATCACCTCAAAAATAAGCTAGGGGAGCAAGCAAACATACATCCAAGCACAAAAACAGGTGATGGGCTGCAATTTATCATAAAAAAACTACCAACTCATGAGGGTAGATGTTATACATGATTTTATACACTATATACTGAATCCTTGCAAAAACTCCATCTTCCTTTGGTGTAATGCCATCAAATCTTGTAGCATTTCTCACTCTCCATATCCAGTACACTGTACACCGAATAGCAAAAAGCAATCCTTGCGGCTTTAGCTTGAAGTCCAACTCCTCGTTGCTCTTTCTTGATCCATTATTTTACCGAACTCGCCAGCGTATTCATTTGCCTTGGGATGCAAATCCAACCCTTGACCTTACTCCAAATAATACCTGAAAAAGATCATTCAAAGTGTAGATGTGGTACCGTTTACGAACCATCCTTGCAAAATGGGCAAATGTTAACTACAACTAATCTATGGAGATTGTCATGTGTAGCAAGCCAGTTTCGCAAGGCCAACTAAATAGTAAAGAAAAACTTGGGAGGAAATAGTTTTTCCAAATAAAGGACATCCAATTCCGTTTGGTCCCTTTAATTCTAAATATGATACACCTTGGAAGAAGATAATCAATAGCTTCTCATTTTCTTGAAATATATAGAGACAATCAATAGCTTCCGGTATATAATATACTGGCCAAGTGTACCATGATTTCATCTCGAATCAATGCCATTATTTTCATCAATTGAGAGTCTCTTTTGTGTGAGGAAAACTACTCAACAAAATAATTGAGGGGATGAACCGAAGTGGCAACCGGAGGGGTGGAAGATCCACTTGGACAAGTCAGGCTGAGCCGCTGAGGTCCCTTTCTCGTTAGTCGTTACTACATAGTACCTGTTTTTTTTATCATCAACTAACCACTTGTATTAATTAATGAAATCATTAGCCAAATGGCTTATAATACAGTCCGGAGCAACATCAAAAACACTCCTGTGATCTGAGAGTAAAACATGCGCTCTAGCCAGAGAATGAGTTACACGATTCGCAGATCGTTTACAAAAAGAGACTCTATAATTACTCTTTGTTAAAAGGATTTCCTTAATATCTTCCAAAATTAAATCAGTGTAAGAAAAACCTCCTCCTTGTCGAAGGCCTTGGACTACATAAAGTGCGTCTGTCTCGAACTCCACGCTCTGCCAGCCTGCTGCAACCGCCTCATCTAAAGCGTCCCTGAGCCCTGCCGCTTCTGTTTCTGCGGAGACCAACCTGCCCTAACTGAGACACCTCCTGCCTTAAGAAAATCTCCCTACTCATCTCTTGTCACCCAGCCCCAAGCTCTCTTATCTCCACTCGGGTCAACCGCAGCATCTACGTTCACTTTGACAACACCCCTACCCGGTCTACGCCATTCTTGTCTTCTTAAATAAATGAATTTTACACTATTCACATATTCTATTTTGACTACATTTTATTTATTAATGTATGAATATATTTTTATGAAAAAAACATTGTTGAATTTGTCTCATTGTAAATTTTCAATATCCATTTTTTAAATTTTTTTACTAATATAAATTTATATATATTAATGATCAAAATTGTATCTCGGCAAGTGTGAAATATTGACCGTTGTATTTATTTAAGAGCGGGGAAATACTTCGTAGTTCGTATATATGGAGTACATTATTTACTAAGTGACCCCAAGGGTCCAAATTGTAAATATTTTATAATTTTGGGGCTGTCCAAATCGTTAACCTCATCGGCAGTAAGGGTCGCATGGTGTACTAATACAGTAGTATTACTACTACTCTTCTCCCTCACGGATCATCCCCGGCCACTTTGAGCATAATAGATAGGCCGCTTCTAACATAGGGTTTCCCCCAGATCTGATTCGTCCTCGAAAAGTCAACTACTCGAGGGTTTTGGAATCAGGTTTATGGTCCAGCTCTTAGGGTGTTCTTGATTTGAGGTTACGCCGCGCAGCCAATGCAATTTGAACAAAATCTGGAGATATTTTCGGTGAATTTTCGGGTACCGAAAAAATTGAACAGATTCAAGAGCGAACTCGCCGTTATCATCAACAACAATGTCCTGGGCCAGTGCGGAAGATATCCACCTATCCACTTCTCTTGCCAGCTATCTTGATAGTCAGTTCTCAATTCCCTTCCATTTCACTCTTGTATATGTATTAGAAAGATTGGGTTTTCCTGAACTGTCTTAAAGATTAAAGAATCTCGAATTGTTCATATTTTGATGTTCGGTTAATCTTTTCCTCACGTATAAATAAAACCCCTTTATCAGTTTATTGTTCAATATCTTTGCATCATGTTATTTGAAGGATAATTATATAAATTCCACGTGTGGTTCTTCATTTCCAATTTCTGTTCTTGTGGTATGGTTACAATGGTAATTTTTACTATGGTAAAGATGTAGGTCTTTAATGAATAGAAGTGATTCCTCAGTGATTGATTGAGAACACGATTTTATGGACTTGACCAAAGATTCGGTTTTCTTCAATGCAAAAAACTTCTAACTAGTTAAGAATGCGTGTTTTACTTGTTGGAACTCATTTATGTGAGATAATGACTACGAGGTGAACAAACAGTATTTTCTTATTTCAAGGCTTATAGTATATTTCTCTTGCAATGTCTTGCCCAGTCCTGCAAGTGATGTTCACTGGTCTTTTTCTTGCTTAGAGTATTGTTATGAATTGAGTGAAAATATGAAACTGCAGATTCCATTCATGATTTCATAAAGCATTTGTATAATTAAATTTATGATTTTTTCTATAATGTATTGAGATTTAACCACCACCTGTTTCTCACAGAGAAACTTCTTGTGTTGCTGCGAGATGGTCGGAAGCTTATCGGCATACTTCGATCTTTTGACCAATTTGGTAGTGTTTATTTTGTAATTGAATTGATTTTGTTTCTAATTATGCACTTTGAATTTTATGGAAAAGATTCCCTAACTGACAACTCTGTCCGTGTATTTTTTAGCTAATGCTGTTCTTGAAGGGGCTTGCGAGCGAGTCATTGTTGGCGATATCTATTGTGACCTTCCACTAGGTCTATACATAATTCGTGGAGAAAATGTCGTGCTGATAGGTGAACTGGTATGTTATGTACTTATGTTGTCTTTTACTAATTCTTTTTAGCTTCTGGGTTTAATCTTAGCTTAAAAGGTTTTATTTGACTGCTAGGATTTGGACAAGGACGAGCTTCCACCACATATGACTTGTGTTTCAGAAGAAGAGATAAAAAGGGTATGTGATTGCTAACATATATTTCATAGCGGTTATATTTAAGGAGAGCCAGTGCTGGAAATGGTGCGTTAACTATTTAAACTTTCAAGTTTTTACTTAAATATATTTTGCTCTATTGCGAAAAATGAATTGGAGGTAATGTTTGAAGATATGTGTAAAATTAAGCCACTCAATTGCCACTCAGTTTGGAGGTTCTTATCATGACCGATAATTGTTAATGCTCAAACTGTGAAATTTACACATTTTCCCTCAAAGGTAATGCATTTGGTAACTATGGACTGGGATTTTTACTATATCAACTGACCATTTTGCTCAACTTTACACGCAAGTTCAAGTTCAGGATTTCAATTCCGAGACCATTTAAAAATTAACTCAAGTTTAGTAGAAGTAATAGTAATTTTGAGTTTTGACATGTTGGGTTGGTTAGAAACATAACAAATATGATACGTTTGGAATTTTGGATATATCAGAAATTTTAAGAAGTGTTTTCCTTTTAAAAAGTAGTAATGTACTGTCATTATTATAACATTATCGAACTAAAAATGCAACAAAACACCAAGTGTTTTCATACTTTTTCATGGTAAACTCATACGGGATATATTTATAACATATATGACTTTCTATAGTACTCTCCCTACCCAAAAAAGAGTCATGCTTGTAATAGTGATTTCACTATGACAAACAAGACTCTTTTCTTTTGGGATGGTGGCAGTAATGATATTTATAACTTCTAATTTTTGGTATCATTTGGGGTTAGGATTGAATATAGGTGTTTCTTTTTCACTCTGATATTGAAATGGTTTCGGATGTACTATTTTTAAAACTCTGAAAATCAAGTTCACTCGAAATCCTAAATGGGTATGAATTTTGGGTATTTAATTGTGATAATAATCGGGACAACGCCACTCCCAATGATAACCATTTCAAAATAAAAACGTGCTTTAATTTGTGTGCTTGTTCCTTTGTAAAAATATTTCCTTCAATTACCGCATATCTGTAAAGTTTCATATACATTGGTGCTTGCATCATTGAACCTCTTTGCCTTCTTTGATATACCGGGTTGTTATGCACCAATTAGAAGCTCACTCTTTCTTATATGCCCCTCAAAATAATAATTTTGATGAAAGTGAAAAAAAAAATTGATGAAAGTGATTTTTTAGTTTCCCTTTAAGCACATAATGTGCATTTTAAGTTTGCAAGCACGCCTTTATCAGTGAAATAACCATCAAAGTCTTGCCCGCATTTAATATGATAACGTGTCACTCATTCTTCAGGCACAAAAAGCAGAAAGAGAGTCTACAGATCTTAAAGGTACGATGAGGAAGAGGATGGAGTTCCTCGATATGGATTGATGCTTCCCTGTGCATGATATCTGCTTCTTCTGCATTTTTTGTCATTTACTCGCATCTTCTGCAAATATTATCGCGGTTGTTGCTGGGTGGGTGCTGAGAAATGTAGATATGATCAGATGGTCAAACATTTCTCCTACAAAGCATTGAGGGCCTTTAACTCTTCTTTTTCTTATTTTTAACCTGGTCTATCTACACCGATTCTCTGCCCCTCACTAAATCCATTGCAGTGCTTAAATTGTACTGGCGTTGCTAGGTCAATGCTTTGTTTTTCTGTACTAGACCTAGGGTGTAACCAAACGAGTTTGGAGTGTGTTATGCTGTGTTTGGGATTGTCTTTTTTAGAGCAAATGGTTGTTCGTACCAGTTCATGTAGCGTTAATGGTATCTGGTATCCATATTGCTCTTGGAGATTCTTCTTCTTCAATGTTCCGTTTGGGAATCTGGAAAATGTTAGGTGTCGCCGTGTGGGTAAGAGAATTTTTCATGGAAAGAAAATGCGCAGGCAAACGGAAAAGATAGATCTAGTCATTCCTAAAAGACAACTAAAGTCTAAAACACTACTAAAACTCCTTTTTCCATTACAATTTGCATGATGGAAGATGTGGCCATGGGGGTATGATGAGCCCGTTTTATACCAGAACTGGGCCAGCAGTTTTTAGTCAGGACCGTAATTAGGTCGGGCATTATACTGGTGGCAGTTGTGGTTGGCTATTTTGGGACTGGAATTAACCAATTTATGATGTTTTCTTTTGGACTGAAATTTGTAGATCTGGTCTAATCTGGTCTGGTAAATGTCTGATCTCTGTGTATTTTATAACTACGAAAGTCTGGTCTGGTCTGGGAGGGATTGAAAACAGTCCAAAAGAAAACATTCTTAGCCTCAGTTGCAATGGATATTTTATTTATTTGTCCTTTTGTTTTTGTATTGGAAAATTTGGGACTAGATTTGATTTGGAATAGGTAGCCATTGTTAAGGTCGTGATTTCCTTATTTAAAGACCGTGGCTAATTGAGGATAGGATGAATCACGGGGTCTAATTAGTTATGGGAAATTCTAAACAGACACAAAATTGCTATTTATAGTCATTTAATTAAAATTTAATAAATAAAGCTATATTACCCTAATGCTTATATTCTTCCTCCGTTCCTTTCTAAATGCAATGGTCCACTTTTCACGTTTGGCAACGTACAAGTTTGACCATTAATATCTTTCATTTCTTATTAGTAAAAAAATTAGATTCTGAAAATTTTAAATGAGAGGAATTTAACAATATTTTTTAATTTAATTTACAATACATTAAAAAGTAAAATTGAGTCAATGTAGAACATGTTAATAGTGGAAAAAATCCAATGTTGCATTTAAAAAAGAACGGATGGAGTATTACTCTATACCATATATCGACCAATAATATATTTTTTGGCATTGTTATCCAATCGAGTGAATTATAATCTTAACCATCACTGATTTGCTATCAAATTTTAAGTGTCTATTTCCATTCAAATCAATGTATTAAAGGGATAGGTGTAGAACTTGTGCAATCAAGTTTTTTGAAAAAATAAAAGATAGGAGTAAACTGCTAATAGGTAGCTATTTCGAAATCGAAATATGTTTGAAAATAGAAAAAGACTGGGAAATAAATGTGTGCAATGAACAATAACCAATTGCATTTGGTCTCAGCGGTTGGAAATTAGATAATAAGCTTTATCCATAGATGAAGAGGCTCAATACATCATACGTTTGAACAAATAAGCCTCAAATAATTATAAAGGATGAGCAAAAATCAATTCGCCTGTGAATATTGTTTTCAGCAGGATTTTCTCTCGAAATTTGGTTAAATGGATCTAAAAAACCAAAGAATTACCGATCAATCTTGCAATGTGTAGTATGATGGATTTTCGCTCTAGAACCTGAAGGAAAAATTTTGACCGTTCTGGAGAAGCGCTTGTAAAAAAGGCTAAGCAGTAAGCACCCTAGAAAATTAAATGCCTAGTTTGGTAGTTAACACGTTAAATTTTTACACGATAGAAAATGTTTGAGGATATGATGAACCACATGGTCTAGTTCTAAACTTCTGAACGTCCTAATATAACATCAAAACATAACGTTTTGTTCAAGCACAATTGCATGTGATTTTATGCAATCATAATCTTCATTTTTCAAATAACAAATAAAACATTTATTAATGATAATCAAACTTCAAAAGCTTAACATGTTATCAACAGGTGAATTGTGTCAAGTACAATCGGACTCAGAAATGACTTGATGTGTTAGTTCATGAGCAACTCGATCCATTGCCGCCCAAAAGTGGGTAATGATATTGACAAAATAGACATTACATGTATAGTATCCTCATATGAGAGCTCATCCGTAGTTGAATGCCCCTCAAGAAATGTTACGCGTCTCATTCAATTACAACATGCTGATACATCTGCTCTCCATGGGCACTATATTGCTTCATGTACAAGATTGTAATTTCAAGCAATCAAACCCATACATCTATTGTACTCTGGGGCTAAAGAGCCACATCAATATTTATTTACAACATTACATCTATTTAGTGGTTGCCATCTCCCCTCCTGAGCTGACCTCTCTTGTGCCCCTAGTGTTCTAATCATCTCTCCAGTCAATCTTAGCATTGCGCCAGGCCTTCCTGTTCTTTGCCTTCCACGGGCTCCAACAAACAAGTGTAGACAAACAAAACTCCTCTAGTACACCCAAGCTTACGTTTCCCACACATTTCACAAGTGGTCGGGCTTCCATTTGTGCAAACTTCATGTTGAAATTGTGTCAAACCTCATGCACAGCATACACTTGCAAAATAGGCATAACATTCTCTCAAGGGGGGCATGTCAAACACAATGGCCACATTGAGACACTTCATTGCAAAAGAAGATCATTCGTTGGTAAGTAGCCCACCCATGTCTGCTAAAGGAAAGCTTTTAATTTCAGTAGTAACTCGATTAAGTTTCCACATTCTGATCCATTCTAGAGTACATATATTCCCTAGTGTGAAATTTCGGCAGCAGCTACACACTGAGTACTTACATCTCATTTCACCCGCCTATATAATCTCATCACCTCGATTCTCGAAACTTAGTCGAATACTAAGGACAATGTTTCGACCAACATCATTGAATTAATCAATTAAATTGTCATTGTCCGAGCTTCTCCCATTTTCCACCATAAGTGAGTTCACTGTTATATCCTCATGACTTGCATGAGCACAAAAGATTGGTCACCTCCCTCTATATATGGCAACCACTAGTCCTTCCAAATTTGGACACTATCCCCTCGAGCAATTCTATGTAACACCCCTTCCCGAATGTTGGTATAGCTTCTACAATGCTTTGCCAAATTAGAGACATATTACTATTACTTTTTTCTTGTAGTGCATTATGGCTTTGCCTGAATAATAGTATTAAGGGGTACTTCTCGCCTTGTCCTGGAAAGATAATGACTATTCCAACGTTGAATACTTTGGAGAATATTTTCTTTAATATCTCTAAAATCATCCTTCTTTTTTCATGTCCTACCATTGACGGAAAAAACTCAAGTACTTCCCACCATGTTTTTCTTCTGGCACCCAAAGAAGCTGGCCTAAATAATCTCTATCATCCCATGTCAAATTAGCATCGAAGCACAAATCAGACTTTTATAGTAAACTAGTTGACGGGACACTAATGCTTATTTTGCCAAAATACTCTTCACCACGAGACACTTGTGATCATTAGCTCTAAGAAGTAGAAAACTCTCATGAACGTAACATCCGAGCATAATAGTGATTACTCCTATTTAGGGATACATAATACTTATATTTAAGTCCAATGTGGAAGTACACTACTCCATAAGCATGAAGGTGTAATTGTATAGCTAAGTCCACATGTACCATATGCTTAAGTGTTTGTAACCTTTTTACCTTCATACATCCTCACTGTGAAAAGCCGTCCATCCTTATGTCAATTAGTAAGAACTCAGTCATTGATCCCAGACAAATCCTATCTTTGTCTTTCACATCTAAACTAGCTTATGTCGGTAAAGACCTAATTCAGCCGCAAACAACCGCCTTTGTCACACCCATTCACCCCCTTCGCCTTCTCTGATGTAAGTCATCATTTCCGTATATTTTCATGGGCATGGTTATTGCATTTAAGAAGCTAATTCAATCTGAGCGGACATGCAAACCGATCGTTCTCTTGTTCAACACACGATATGGAAAGCGAAAGAGCACTTTCTATGGATAGGGGGGGTCTGGTGAGAAAGGACTCCATGGAGAGAAATGAGAATGAATCTGAACCGTTGGATTGTATGATGTTAAATTGTATTGTGCATTAGGTGAAACTTAAATATGCATTAGGTGATATTGAAATGTGTTGAATAAAAAATAAAACTCAAATGTGCATTAGGTGAAATTGAAATTTGCACAATAAAAGGTACAAAAATGCGACCACATTGTGCCTTTTACTATGTACATTTTAGTTTCATTTAATGCACATTTCAGTTTCACATATAGGATAATTCAGCTTCTCGTAATACCATTGTATCGCACCCTTTGTGTTGTACATTTTCATTTCACCTAATGCATATTTCAGTTCCACGTAATGTACATTCAATTTCACAGAATACAATCCAACGGTCCGGATTCATTCTCATTTTTCTCCTAAGATCATTTCCTCATTTGAACTGAGCTCTCTCTATATATGTATGTGTGTGTGTGTGTGTGTGTGTATAGAGAGAGAGAGAGAGTAAGGATCATATGAGAACACCATCTTATGAGAGAAATGCGAATGATTCTGGAGCGTTGGATTTTGGTATCGTGCATTATGTATAACATAAAAGTGCATATAAAAATTTGAAAAATGTGCATTTCATTTGTGCAAAAGTTTAAACGTAAATGTGCACATTAGAACTTTGCATTACTTTAGCTATAAATGTGCATTTCCGTGAACGCTAAAGTGTATCGATGACTGATTTTCTTCTTCTTGTAATCCTTATAGGCATTTTCTCATTTCATGTGCAGTTTTATACTTATATATATATATATATATATATATATATATATATATATATATATATATATATTGACCATTCTTTACTTGCATATTAGTTATATATAGCTATTCAATCATTTTCTTCACTTGTACTTTTCCTCTGTCTTATCTCAATGATTGGTCTACATGTTAATACTATCTACTCCGTATTATTTAAACAAATCTTTGCTACTAATATGTACATGAAAGTTTGTAGTTGTTCATCACCCAAATAAACTATCAAGAGTTATGCAAACTTCGCCCTTTACACAATCTATAAGAAATGATTGACACTCCAATCATAGTATAAATTCTCTTGTAACTAAATAATATTGAACTGAGTTTAATATAGCAATGATTGTTACCATAATTGTGAATCATAATATTACAAATATTGAATTAGAAACAACTGATTTTGTAAAAAGATTGAGTTAAA